TTTTTTTTTTTTTTTTTTTTTTTTTTTTTTTTTTTTCCTGTTGTCATTTTATCTTCTGCAATAACCATCTTTCTGGTTTTCTTTTATTTATATTCCTTTGGTGTCTTTCTATCTTTTGATGTTGTTGATCTATTCCCAGCGAGCCTTTATTTTGTTTCTATTTTTTCAGTTTCTATCTTTTTATTTTATAATCTGAAAGACAACTTGGTGCTTGTTTAAAAGAAGATCATTTTCCCAGAATTAATTGCCCCCCTCCCCCTTGCACTTTAAGGAAACTGACAAAAATTAAGCAATTATTCTATAAAATAAGTTGAACCAAACACAAATTTATCATATGAAAAGACATTTCTATCTTATATTTTTTTGGGGGAATTGATTTCATTGTCCTTTTACACTTCCAACCACTGTTTTGTAGTTTGAAAAACATTTTTCTTTTTTTGTGTTGTGTAATGTGTTCTTCACACTTCATAGTTCCTAGAAGTTGACAAATTTTTCTGTTGATACCCTTTTTTTAATATTAATTTCATCATCTTCCTATTTCTTATGTTTGTTCCTTTGTTCCCAATACTTTTATTTTAGACTACCACTTTTGATTATCAATAATGAATATAACTTTAAATTTAGATTTTTAAAGTTTTAAGCATTTCTATGCACAACGGCCTACTCATGCTGCATGAATTTCTACAAGAAAAATCATGAAAAATAATGAAAGTCAACTGACAATAAACAGGCAAATTACAAACTAGGCAACTGATTGCACTTGCTATTCCTTGTAGACGTTTTGATTTATTATACACAGATCAGAGCATAAGCTTCAACTGCTAAATAGAGTAGTATTTTTCAATAAATTATTTTCTTTTCCTGTGTATAGTGCATCATGCAGACCTGTATATTTGCAATTACATTTATCGCTTCGGGGGAAATTGCTTTTAATAGAGATTTTGAGTGCAGAAACTAGCAGTTTCAAAAATGATTGGCATGCTTTTTTATATTTCATGATCTTACTATTTCCTCGTCAATTCATGTTTAGCTAGCAACATTCCAGTTGTCAAAGAGGTTCAGGCAATTATGAATCCGGCAGCTTTCACATTTGTGCGCTTTGCTCTTTCTGCAATTCCTTTCATCCCGTTTGTATTGCGAGGGTGGGGAGATTCTTGTACCAGAAATGCAGGCATAGAATTGGGTTTGTGGGTTAGTCTGGGATATCTTATGCAGGCACTTGGACTACAAACCTCTGATGCTGGCCGTGCATCATTTTTATCTATGTTCACTGTGAGATAATTGAATCTTATGTATTATGTGAATACCTTCCCTTCATGAGAGTATTTTAAGCAAGTATAGTCATGAATATTTGGGTGAAATAACAGGTAATTGTGGTTCCATTACTTGATGGCATGCTTGGAGCAGTAGTTCCAGCTAGAACCTGGTTTGGGGCCCTCATGTCGATTGTAGGAGTTGGAATGCTGGAATGTAGCGGTTCACCCCCATGTGTAAGTTTGATCTTCATTTTGTGTTTTTCTTCATCTTTTCCTCTCATTCATTGTGAGGTTTATGATACAATGGGCCTTTGAATCATTGTCCTCCAATTCATTTATGCAAGAAAAGAGAGGGAAAATAGGGATAGATTGGGAAATGAGCTTCGAAGTGTAGTGGAGCTAGCTGTTATGCTAGAAAAAGTGGCTCTAACTGAATTGACTCTTGGCAGCTGGGAGTTATTGTAGAGGGTGTTGAGTCATGGAAGGGAACCTGAATATGGAGGGAATGGAATGGGGTGCGGGGCTGGGTATTGGATCATTTGGATAGACTGGGGTGGGGTGGCTGAAGCCATTGGACATAGATAGCTTATTGTTTATTTCAGTTAATAACACTGAGAGTTTGTTCCTAGTTGTCTCCCTTGTATTTTTCACTGTTAATTCAGAACCTATCATAATAGTATATGTGGTGAAGGACTATGGATACACGTAACCTGAATGCTTAGCGCCTGCTTGATAGTCATTTTTGTTTCCTAAAACTTGTTTAAGTGTTGCTGAATTCAGGTTGGAGATCTTTTGAACTTTTTAAGTGCAGTGTTTTTTGGTGTTCATATGTTAAGAACTGAACATATATCGAGAAGCATAAGTAAACAGAAGTTTCTGCCCCTCCTCGGATATGAGGTTAGTTCTTAGTTACTTGTCCATGCAATGTGTGTCTCTTTATCTGTGTGTGCATCAAAACAAGTCCCTTCCGGTTAACCTTTGCATTATTTAATTTTGTTGAAGTTTTAAATGCAGATTTGCATTGTTGTTTTGTTTTCTACAATGTGGTATCTTCTTGGAAGTGGCATTAATGGTGCCCAGCATCCCTTTCCATCATCTTGGACATGGAAAATGCTTAGAGATTGGATGGTTGATTTTCCGTGGATACCTGCAATTTATACAGGGATATTCTCAACTGGTTTATGTTTGTGGGTAGAGGTAAAGTTATCATTCTTGGCACGCTTAGTAGGTGTATATTATTATTTTGTTTCCATTTTAATGATGAAAATACTTCATTTTGTCCATTTCCAAAAAAATTTGAAAACAAGAATGATAAAGTGAGTACCATTATTTTTTTTTTTTTTGTTTTCTTCATCTATGTATTTGGCTTTCTTCTCTTAATAATTTCCTTTTCAAAAAATATATATTTTTCATTTGGCTTCCAGCTGTCAACTCTTTTTCCATGTTTCCTTGAAACCATGTTTTTATTTGAGAAGATTCCTTTTTGTGATGTAGATTTCTTAGATTTGATTGCAGATGGCTGCAATGTGTGATGTATCAGCCACAGAAACTGCTATAATATATGGTCTGGAGCCAGTCTGGGGTGCTGGTTTTGCATGGTTTCTTCTTGGTGAAAGGTGGGGTCCCACAGGATGGGTTGGTGCTGCCCTTGTGCTAGGTAAAATAACTTGTTTACCCCAGTTGTATTATTTTCTACTTTCTGATCCTCTTATTCTATGACCACCTCATTTCAATGTTTTTGTAGGGGGAAGCTTAGCAGTGCAGATATTTGGAACCTCAAGTAATTCGAACGAAGAACAAAAACAAAGTAAGAAAGGTGACAACCAAATGATTTCTGACAAAAATAATGCTTTCTCTACATCCGCTGTAATCCTTAGATCCAGAACGGATGCCTCTGATTTTTTAAAGTAGTGGTATCCTTCATGTATATTTTCTCATAAACTTAATATAAGTTTTTCTAATTATTTTAGTGCGAAATCAATCGTTTGTTGAAGAGTGTTACAGTCAGTCCTTAGCCTTGTCAAGTATTGTAGAGGGGGAATAAAATTTTCATCTAATTTGATGTTTTTCAAAATAAAAAATTAAAAAGATTGATTTGTCTAACTCTAATGTCTCAATCTTAAAATTCCTAAACATGTCCTCAAACTTATTGATTAGGATTTGTCGTGTGTATATAAATTATAAAAGCCTCGATGACAATGATGGGAGAGGTTGTACTTCCTTTAGCGACGTATATAAAATGATAAAAATATATAAATATTCATACTAAAACATTCAAATTTACTAATTGATTGTGTATTAGTGCTTTACTTGGTTTTTAATTTTATGATTATTAGTTGTTTAAGTCGAGATTTTATTCAGTAAAATCTGACCTCTTATTCTCCCTTTGTTAATGGCAAATTTTACTAATATATTTCTTTAAGTAATTTTGAATCATTGGAACGAATAATTATTAGGGGTTGGAATTGATGTCCGAAGACTTAAGTTTAATTTTCAATTGTTATTTTGAAGAAAAAAATCATTGAATGAATGATTAAGGGATATTGGCTGATGTAATTTTTTTTTTGTTAGTACTGATTAATTTATCTGAACTGTTTACATTTTCTGTGATTCGATGCTATTTTTCAAAGGTAAGGTGAGGGCTTCAGCTTGAGTTATGTGAATGGAAAGAAAAGTTGTCGAGAGAAATGTATCTTAAGTGAGTTTAACTGGATTTAAATGTTAAAGTTCAATTTGTTTTTAGATAAATGAAATATATATATATATATATATATATATATATATATATATATATATATATATAACTGTTTTGCCTAATACATGACTTGTGTAGTTAAACAATTTATTGTGTGGCATACTGGCATACCACCAACACCAAATGTCATTTTTCTAAAATCAATCCCCATATTTACCTAAAATATTGATACAATTTCTCCAAGTAAAGCATTGTGCGAAAAAGATTCGAGTCTCATTTGAGAGTACTTGTGATGAAGATCACACCATTAAATATTCAACACGAAAGTTTGCTCTATAACCTAAAAGATGTAGAGATATTCTGTGATTGACTTAAGAAGGGAGAAAAAAAATGTAGCAAACATTTGAGGGTCACTAATATAAGTAAATCAAACTAACATTAGGGAAATTTGAGTTTATCCTAGAACCTTGTGGTTATTTAGCATTATTTGGAAAAGAAAAAAAAAAACCTCATTTTCTTTCCTTAAGAAAGAAAAAACAAATTAAAAAAAAGGGATTTTCAGCACTAATATCAATATCAATGTATTTCAAGATATTTTGTCATGCAGAATATGAAGAATTCATCAATAGCATTTTGGTTCAGGTAATACATCTATGATTTCTCTTATAAGATTTGTAGTCAAGCTTATTTATATATATATATATATAAAAAACCTTTAATTCTACGATGTAGTGAATGTTTCTGATTCAAAACAAATAAGTGAAAAACCATTCAAAGCTTGGAGGGTATGTCTTGTACTAGTTTTTGGCTAATTTATAAATTTATTCACGTGCTCGTGCGATTGGAATCAAGTTAAAGGCTGCAATTTGCACCTTTATGTCCTATTCTATTCTTGTTGCTTGGGAATCTCATGTAATTTAAAATGGAAATGTTCTGTGAATATTAAAATAAGACAATAAAATGTTTTTCCTTTTTCATAATGAAATATAAATAATTATATATGCAAAGTAGTTTATAAAAGTTTCATAATGAAATTGATTCGAAATAAATTTCAGACAAATTTCCATTTTTGAATTTTTTCTTGTTTCATACAATATTAATGATAAATACAAGCTAATAATCGGAATCGGTGGTCTCACATTTAAGTCCTAGTTATGTAATTATCTTAAATATGAAGAACATTACAGTTCATAATGATACTATCCAATTCAAATATGATTTTTTTTTATATGTAAAATACATATTCTAGACAAAATAAATAAATAAATAAATGCAAGTAATGGAATGGTCCTGTTGTTGGATACTTGCATTATGCGTTTGTGTGGTAAGTTAACCACAATTGTCTGCCATTTTCCAAGAATTTTAGATCATACTAATCACTTTTGGGCTATGTGAAAATATTCCATTTTATTTTTTATTTGCATATCCTAACTGGAATCTGAAAAAAAAAAGGAAAATGCTTCTGCTAGTGGTGGTACAGTTACTGTTACATCTCCAAGCACATATTCCTTTTTATTTGCATCAATGATATCTTTCAACTGAGAGCTGGAAATTAATTTATCTCGAAGCATAATTTTTTTTTTTAAGTGAGTCTTATCTTTTTCAATAATTTTTTCTTCCATACATGTAGTCAGAAGTCGAATATGTGATAACATGCTTAAAAATTTAAGATACACATTGTTCTTCTATATTAACAAGATACACATTGTTCTTCTATATTAACTATCTCTATACACATATTTCTTTTAAAGAGAAAAATTCAAGTCTTACATCGATCAAAGATTAGACAATTTTATAGTATATAAGTAAAAAATAATTCTTATCTTACAATTTGGTTTTGTAGGATTGAGTTAAATTCAAATCCATTATTCTAAGACCTATAACATGATATAAGTGTAAAGGCTGTTTTTACTGTTTTTATTTTTTTATTATTTTTATTTTTTTTAATATCTAAGTTGAGACTCTACACTTTCCCCCCCTACAATGATGGTTAACTTAATCCCATTTTTTCTCTAATGATTTCATTCCCAATTTTATCTTTTATAGTCGTCATCTATTGTAACAATCTTGTTTGTGATATTAAACTTGAGTGGTAATTTTCATCTCATAAGTTATTTATGAATATTCCTTCATTTCATTTACTTTACTTGGATCTTATGGGTAACATATTAACGTTGTTCTTTATCTTCGCATCATAGATACAAGGTACGACTTGTGATGTTTTATCTTTTTATTGGGAAAAATCTAAGTCCTACATCGACTAGAGATTAGGCAATTAAATAGTATATAAGTGGAAAACAACCCTCACCTTACAAGCTGGTTTTGTAGGGTTGAGTTAGGCTTAAATCCACTATTCTAAGATGGTATCAGAACTATCCTAGATTCTTAAAAATGGGTCACCCACCATTCATTGATACATGCACCATGGGCATGAGGGAGTGTATTCAAGTCCCGCCATTAAAAAAGAGCCACCTACTATTCATTGATACATGCACCATGGGCATGAGGGAGTGTATTCAACTCCCGCCAATCCTAGATCATTAAAAAATGGTCACCTACCATTTATCCACATACCAAGCCCAATAGTGTTGGATGTGAGGGGGTGTATTGGGAAAAATCCAAGTCCCCCACTAGAGATTAGGCAATTAAATAGTATATAAGTGGAAAACAACTCTCACCTTACAACCCGGTTTTGTAGAGTTGAATTAGGCTTAAATCCATTATTCTAAAACTCTTACTTAGAATCATTTAGGGTCTTGACAACTACAAAACCATCTAAACATTTGTCTTTTGTCTTGGATTATGAGGTTTCGAAAAAGCATCCATACATTTTTTAAAAAAATATTTATTATGATTGTTAAAAATAAAATGTTTATTATTAAAAGGAGTGTTAGTAACATATATACCTTGTCAATATGTTTTTTTTATATATATAATAAAACACTCAAAATTGGTTAAAATTTGTTGAAGACTAAAAAATTATGAAAGAATTATTAAATAAATAAGAGCCACAAAAGTTGACATTTTCAAAAAATTCAACCAATAATAGAAAAATATTAAAAAGTGTGTCAATTTGAATTATCAGGTGATAAATTTTATTATGATATATTATATATGGTAATTGTTGTATAGTACGAAAGAACGAATGGACGGTTATATGATTATATCATGATCTTTTAAAAATTTAATTGGCAATTTTCTTAAATCAATGCCCAAATCTTATTATTGAGTTGAGGAATTTTATTTTGGTTACTTATTGGTATGTTATTGAGTTGTTGTTAACGTTTTTGTTACTAAAATTGTATAGTTTTAAGATTATTAATTAATCAACCATATAAAACTTTTTTTTAACATGGATGAATTAAAAAAAAGAAGAGAGAAAATAGACTATACAATGACGATGTAAATACTTACATTGTCAAGTCTTGGTGTATCGAAGATTTTGATTTATTTTTAAAAGTAATAATATTGCAAGTATGCACGAAAAAAATCCATATTCTACTAATTATATAAAATTACAATCTTTAAATACATGCATTGTTTCTAAATATTATTAATAATATTTCAAATTATTTTATATGCTGAAGATAATTTAAAAATTGAAATTATTCCAATTTTATTTGATATTAAACTATATATGTTAAAAGGATAATTAAATTAAATGATTTTTTTTTAATTTTATATGTTAACAATAAAATGTTTGAAATAATACTTGTACCTGCTCAAGGATACACTCGTAGTCTTCTTGGTAAGAAGGGCCGAACGGATACTTCAAACGGATTCGTCAGAGGGGGGAGGTACCTGCAAAAGGTACTCCGACGCTCAAGTCAGGACAAGCACGATATTCTAGGAAAATTAAATGAACAGTGATGTACCTCGTTGCGTGTGACCTATTTATAATACCTGACATGGGCCTGAACGTGGTGGGCCTATTCTAATCTTTACCAAAACGCACTGTTCTCCACCATATATAATATCACCTTCCGACGGACCGCCGAAATTTGTCAGAGCTCGTCATTAAACACCATGTTATTCCTAAAGCGCCAAACCCACCACAAGGTGATGGAAAGCGTAATAGCATCCTTGTGCAAGATAATCCCCTTCAGCCACTGAAAACAATCCAT